TTTCAGTCTGGACAGAATCTCCATACCTACAGTGGAAACAAAGGCACTCTCAAAAGTCGAGGAGCTGAGGAAAAGCACAGAGAAAATGAAATGAACAACCCCCCCCAAACAATCTCAATGCTTTGTTTCATATCTGTTTTAATTCTCAGTCAGATACAATCCTTCCAATTTTCTTAGAAAAACTATTTAGATAGAAATATATTTGGGAAAGGACCTGTGACTTGAAAAATACAGTTTAGGAAAGTAAAGAGGGTTGTTTTCACACCCAGCAGTGGTCTTCTGCTTGAAAAGAAATAGACTGTAATGTATCTGTGCCTCAGGATTATGCACTTCTAAATTGCAGCCCTATCAACATTAATATTAATATATTGATATCAATGTGCATCTGTCACTTCAGCAGGCTTTAGGCACCCAAGTCTTCACAGGCACTTCAAGACAACCCTTCAAGCTCATCAAATGGCTGCAACTAAGCCAGGGAAGAGCTCTTCACAAAATATCTGGAGGTCAGCATCTGAGTATGCCTCAGGAGGCTCCTGTCTCAGTACTCATCTCCAGGTGCCATCTGTGAAACAGGACTTGGGATGATGGTGCCCAAGATTTCCCAGTAACCATGGTAGCGATTAAAGGGCTGATGGTAAGCATGCTTTAAACAAGAGTTGGCAGAGCTCATGTCCTGTCTCTCTTTAGCTGAAGAGGTGAGGACAGACATGCATACCAGAGGACAGTGGTCTGACCTATGTGCTCATAATCCAGCTATTCCTGATCATGGTTTCTCTATTTCCCTATTGAAGCAGGACCACAGTGCCATTAGGCTGAACACTGCATTCAGACTGACTTCAGATGTTATTACCCATTTATGGTACAGCACACAGGATAACAATGAAACTTCAGAGAGATAAGAAATACTGGTACTCTGTTCCACCACAGAAACAAGGCTAGTTACCAGTTTGGTTAATGCCATCTTCATATTCATAGGCACCGCTTCACTGTTTAGTTTTACTCTTGCACTTAACATTCCCACCTATATTGAACTGGATAGGATAATTTAAACATTAAACATGATTTACAAAATCTGCCTCATCTTGCATGGCATTGTGACAACAATTAAAAAAGAGAAGCAAGCATGAAGGGTGATGTAGCACACACCTATCTGCTGCAAAACCTGATTGAAACATAGCAATTTAGGCAAGCTTCTTATTCTTGCAGTCATCAGTCAAATTCATTCATGCTCTAAAACACTAGTCATTAACCACATCAATTACCTACTAGAAGAAGTGAAGATTGTTATCTCATGGAAATCATCAAGTGGGGCTTTCAGAAGCTTTACCTTTTATAGCAGTGAAATTCCACAAGTGTCCAAAAAGCTTTTAATGATTGTTGGAAATTAGCCATAAATTACTACCTGATAAAATTGTATTTACACAAAAACATACATTGAAAAAGCACAGTGTAAGTATTGTTTTCTGCATAAATTAACTCCTATTGTCCATGAGCTGAGAGAAACCTTCCTCAAAATCCAGACTTCAGAATTACAAACTATGCTTCCACATTTGTAGCGTTATATACCAAAGAATGGCCAAAAGAATTCCCTCAGGAAAACAGTGAGAGAAAAATGAGATAAGACATTTCTAGAGTGTTAGCATTAAGCTGAATTACAGTGTTCCAAGCCCCAGTTCACTGTTAAATTGAAGATGGAAGTAAAAAAATAAATTATATTAGTCTCCATGTTTCCAGGCATTGGTTTTCAACAGAAAAACCACACACTGGACACTGCAAACAACACAAGACAAAATTAAAAGGCAGAGGATATGAGGCCAAAGACATTGCTACATGTCAGGCTCTTCAACATGGAAACTGCTGGTCGTTTCAACTTGTTTTTTTCTTTAGAAAGGTTTTCATAAAATATATGGAAATAGCCCAGGCAACACAGAAGACAAGTCAAGGTTTCTGTTTCCAGGTACAGATCAGCCTGTTTTATGTGTAACTTCAGTTAAGGAGAAGATATAAAGAGCACCATAAAGAGCCAAACTTGGAAAATAAAACCTGTGGATCCTGAGTTCTTTGCTAGTTCATTTCCTTGACTTTTTTCTTTCTTCTTCATTCTCCTTCAAAAGAAAACTGCAGTTACGATCTGTTTCAGGCAGCAGAATAGGCAGAGGTCAAAAAAAGCAGATCTGGATTCTGATTCAGCTTCTGGATTCAAACATTTGTTTGAAGACTACTTCAAACTTGCAGCAATCTACCACATTAACAGACCAAGCTTTTCCTGAAATCTTTCATTCAAATTCAGTGGCATTTACTGTGCTCACATTCTGAGAAGAGATTTTACCGGTTGATTGGATTTGTATTGCACCAGGAATAATACTTGTACGTGGTCAACACATCCCTATTAAAAGAGAAAATATACACCATATGGGTCAGGGACTGGTGTTGACTTCAGCATATTGAGCTAAAAAGGAAAGGAAAAGAAAAAGCAGTCTGATCCTCAGGGATTTTCACTGCCACTAAATTTCACCAAATGCTAGCAATTTCCATTCTTACAGCCTTTGTGACGGGTGGAAACCGCTACCACAACCAAGCAGTTCATCCTGCTCTATCACTGTAGCATGAGAATTACTAAATTGGGATTTATCCCCAGTTTCCAATCGGATTGCAGGTACAACTCCAGTGGTGTACACATGCATCAGTTCATTTGGAACAGCATGATGAAAATACACACTGGAATGATGGTAATCAACCCGCTATCAGGCTTTTCAGGTTAGAAAAGCTAGTAGAAGTTACCTGTGCAAGGTGCTTCAAGCAAGCTGCAAACAGGCATTAAGAGAATGAACCCAGGGGGAGGAGAGGAAAGCAAAGCACTTGTAAGAGCTCCCAGAATACTTCCCCAGTATCTTATTTTACTACCATTTTTAATCATTCTACCCTTCAGCTTCTGCATGCCAGAAGACACCAACCCAAAAGATACCTCTCACGTTTGAATACTTTTCCTGTTTGTAAGTTTAGGGGTGTCTGTATGTTTGGGCAGGATCCTTTTCAGAGGTTAGTAACATAAAACAGAGTCTTTGAGGAAGGTGAAGGTTTTAATTGCCACAAAGAATTCTGACTTTTTTTTATATTAATAAAAAGGGTAATGATTCAGTTTAAACATCTTGATGCAGCTTTCTGCAGATCTCTGAACTGTAGCTTTCCATATACTCCTTCATACAAAACCTTAAACCCTTCATATTTCCCTTTTCTTGCTGAAGTTCTTTGGTATAGAGTATAGAAAGTAGCCAAAGTACTCAATGGTATCTTAATACTTATGAGAAGTGATGAACATACTAATGCATAAAACAGATCTCACCTTTCACCTTTAAATCCTTTAGCTGACATGCTCTGAAAGGCAGTCACCTGTAAAACCATATATAATTTAATACATTGTCTGGGTTAAAAGGATGAGGAAGATTGCACATGTTTAGCACACATAATGTTGAATCTGAGACACACCGGTCTTCTCTGTAATGTCTTTCTTGTTCTTATAATACTCAACTGCAGCACTGGCATACAAGAGAATGCTTTCAACTCCAAGAAAAACATCAATAAACAAATAGAGGCATATTAAGGGGACAGGAAAGATTCAGGACTCCTAGATAAGGAGATGGTAACTTTTGACATTATGGTTTTTATGGAAGGAAATAATTTACAAAATGTTTGTAATTTATCAAAGAGGCAAAAAAAAAAAAAATCTTTTATTCTACCATGGGTTAATTTTGTCCTGTCTGCAGTAAGTAACCTGTAGGACGGTCAGTACAGAAGTGACCTACAGTTCCCAACTCTCCAGCTATAACAGTACTTGGGTATGAAAAGTCCATTATGGAAATGCCCAGGACAAGCAGATCCAGGACTCCTCTGAGGCAATGCAAACTGATGTCTCACAGTGCCCTTGCTGGTCACTGCAGAAAGCATTTTTTCAGACAAAACACAAGATTAACCACATAGTGGTCATTCGTGCTTAGGAGCATTTTTTTTCTAAAGCATTAAATAAGACAGTTCATTTCCTGGCTACACTCCAGTTTAAGTATTTGTATTCCACCTCTCTCAGTTTCACCCCGTAGCTTTGATTCATTCTGACACTTTTTTTTTGGTTAGCCTTGCTTTCTCCCTCGTGCTCTCCTGCACATCAGGATGCATTTCACTCCAGGAGCAGTTACCTTTCAATGCCAGGTGACTCAAGGCCTACGGCATTCCCCCAAGCTTGTAACACATTTAATTGTCCTGACAAAAGAGGTTAAAGACACTGAAAAAAAGCATTCTGTGGTCTTCACATTCATCAGAATATTCTTAAAATACTGAAAGGATATCACAAAGGTAGGAACATACCCAGCTTGTTTAAGAGTTACCCTCATGAGCAATCCTGGGTGGTTATTGCTGGGTTTATTGCAGCCTTCCCTTAGTCATTGTGTGCTTCTTTTTCCAAAATCTAGAGACTCTGTAGCTTTACTGCTTGCTCTTTACAACCAGGAAAACATGGAATGCGATTTGGAGTTTGCAGCTGAAAGATCAAAAACCAAAAGTGACCTCTTCCATATTTTACAAGTCATTTGCAGTTAAACACTGCAAAAATGTAAAACTATTGCAAAACAAATAGGTCTTGCAAGATATTGAGGGTTTTGTGTGTAAATATAACAAATATGAAACAAATAACTATAGACCTACATACACAGATAAGTTTTACTAATGGATGTGGTACATTTAAGCTACAAAGCTCTGCCATCATCTCTCTCCATCTTTGCCTTCTTACTCAAGTATGCTTCCTTTAGTCAAGATGTACACCATGAAAAAATGATTCTGTTCCTATTACACCAGAAGCACATCCACATAAATTTTTATGCTGCCATAAATCACATTAAGTGGTGTTTCAACCAGAAGTCCTACCTGTACTGAAAGGAGAGTATGTGCATTAAGATATTAAGATAAGTTTAGGTATCTTTTCATATGTTTATCCATAAACATACCTTAAGCAGGGATTGAACAACTTCCAGGTTGCAGATGGATTAGCAGTGCTTTTGGGGGATGAATTCCTGCCCAAGGCATAACTGGGGCACACAGTATTTCTGGTGGTTAGAGTTCAGCAAAATGTTGCAGGATCTGCAAGTTACAATATTAGAATAGAAAAAATAGAATGAGGTGCAAGAAAGAACTTGCTCCTCAGTAGCTGCACTTAGACTGTTAACACTGAAACCTACCCAAATTAAGGCAGCGAGACTCTCAGAGAACTTCTTCAGTCATCTGCCTACTTGTTCCTCCCTCTTCCATGCTTTAAAAAAGATCTAGAGCCTTACATGGTAAGAACATCAGCATTTAATTGTTACATTGATTTTTATGAAACATAAAATATGAAGAACATACAGCAATTTAAGCATTTAATTGACTAGGGGTGAAGAGAGAATGTCTACTGAATATTTCTTCATCAACTCAGGGAAAAAAACGACATCCACATCCTGCCTTTTGGGAGAAGAACAGGAGATTTTAGCATGCCTTTCACTTAGTTTTCAATATACCTGTCTAATATATCAAACACTACTGTAAGGAATACACAAACTTTTACCCTTAGGTATTGAATAAGGGCTAGACAGGAAACTTTCTCAACCACATTTTAAACAATAAAGTACCCTATTACTTCCTCTTGGAGTCTTACCAAACATTTACTAAAATTTTCCTATTTTCCTAGTAAGTTACCATTATTTTTTCTCCTTTTTTTAACAGAAAGCCACTTTCACCCGGCCAGCATAGCCGAGTTTATGATGCCTTAAGTCAAAGACATTTCCCTCCCATCCCTCTATAATAGGGGCTATATCAAAACACACATAACGAGAAAGCAGTAGCTCTTTCCCTATTGCAGTGTCTCACCAGTTGCAACTGAAAAAAAAATCAGTAACAATTTTTAAGCAACTCCAAGTAGTTCCTTTTTGCCTTTCCTAAACTAATAAAAGAGCTGCTGCAAATAATCGAGAACTTAAAGAAACAACAGTAGTGTCAGCCCATGCAGCTAATGGAAGGGCCTTTATTGCAATATCCTCTCTATTATTTTATCCAAAATTCTGCTGTTTCTCAGATGAAAATCTATAGCAAAGTATTCTTACATATGCTTAAAAAGAAAACTCAAGTGAAAAAGTTAATTCCTCCCCCCCTTCTTGTCAGAGAGAAGGTAACACAGCTGCCAACCCCAGAATGCAGCCAAACCAGTTGCAACCCCTGCAGACAGTGAAACACTTCCCATGTGACAAATAATTGATTTTGAAGCAAAGATACACACAAGTCATACACATTAAAAATGAAAAACCCATTTCTTATCTGTATAAAATATCCCTCAGTTCCATAGCAGCTGGAATGCAACTAAGTTTATTAACAAAGGAATAGCCCCTTGAGGCATGGACTCGCTGAATTGATTGCCGAGCACTGTCAACAATATTATGAGATACAATCCAGACACTAAATCTCCCCCGTTAAGAGATCTTATTTAATTATTTTCTTGAACGGGGCATTTCTTGACACAGTGGGCAAGGGAATTCATTGCTGTCAAGAAGGCAACATAATTAATTGTGCAGCAAGGAACTTGGCCTTTCCATTATGTGTTCATCATTGTGCACTTGAGATGCTATATTACAACCTACTTGGATTTCTCTTTTGGTTTCTCAGCTGTTGTTCAGGTTTCTCTTTCCTTTGGAAGGCAAAAGCTGCAGAGATGATCATATAAAACTGCTTTTACACTAGCTTTAGCTGATAAAAAAATCCTAGAGCCTTTTAAGCCAGAGAGGTTATTTGTTATATCAATTTTCCAGAGAATTTCACGATAGTCTGTGGCATTGGCACAAGCAGGTTGGTCTGCAGTGAAGATCAGAAAGAGCCACACAAAGTTGCACAAATCTGATAACTGTAGCTAAGGCACACGCCTTACATCACAACATCTTTGGTCTTGGGGCACTTACTCCAAGGTCAGCCTTCACCCTCAGCAGTTCCATCCATCAAAACTAACAGTTTGCAGATTGAATCAACTGATAAGATGCCAGAGTGCAAGATGCAGAGTAATAGCTCTCCCACATCAAGGTTATAGCTTTTGACTTTCCCTGCACAGCAGCCCAGACCTAATATTCACATGTGAGCTGTAGGAATCATTCAGCAGACTTCATCATAAGAAACATAAAAGAGCATGCTGAATAACTAAGAGCTCCTCTGATTTCCTGATGTACCATTACTGTGGTAGCAGATACTTTTCTCAGTAAGTTCGCATCATCCATAAATTACCCTGATCATAGAAAAGTGTCGAAAGAAAAGCTTTTTACCTAAATTCTGAGTCTTCACAACTTACAGAGATTTTTAGGAAAGAAAATGAAATGTGAGCTTTCATATTGTCTTTGTGTTTTTATGATGAGTAGATAAGAATCACAGAATAAATCTGTGCGTGAAAACAATCAGAACGATGCAAGCGAAGAAACTGCCCTTCCTTCAGAGGCAAGAGTACCTGTAGCTATCATACAGTCAGAAGACAACCCCAAACTTTGCATAAACTTTGAAAACAGCAGCAGACCGCTGACACCAGAAGAGAACGCACTCCCAATCCAATCCTGATGTCTGGGTGCTATCTATGACAAAAAGAAGCCTTAGCCAAATCATCCCTGGTGTAACTCATCTGAGCACAATACACAGGAGCAGATCTGACACCTGATTTTCAGTGTTTTCCTAATTTGTGCTTTGTGCCAGCAGTGGAAAGTACATACAAAAGACATAAAAGCAAATTACATGAGCTCAGCTTCTCTCCTGAATGCAGCCGGTAGTGTTTGTGATCTGTACAACACAGCAGTGTTAAGTTAAGCTGTTTCACCAAACACTTCAAATCAGCGTCAGAGTGCAACGTGACCAGCAAGCAGTTCTCGCTGTTTTGCTAATGCAGTATGTTTGGTGCCTAAGCGCAAAACCACAAACGAGAAAGCCAATGCAAAGCATCCCTTGGAAGACAGATGTAATGTTAAAAGCATTATTGTGCTTTATTAAGCAGCTTATTGAGCAGCAGTTTGCACAGTCACAAGTTCAGTTGGTTTCCACTGATAGCACTCAAGGAAAGCAGTAAAGCCTCTCAAAGCCAGGCCTTCAGTTCTTCAGTCAGCTCTGCCCATGGCAGCAGCCTGTGATTGACACCACAGAGCTGTCACTAACACCAGGCTAACAGTGCCTCACCATGAAAGCTGTGCCAAAGCAGGGGAGAGAAGTACAGAGTTAGTGAGTACCATGAACAAAAAGCAGCCCACAGTATATAATATATAGGAGGCTGAAAGCAGGAGGAAAATAAATTCACTTATCTTGCAAACTTCTATGCTTGCCATTAGTGGTGGTATTTATGATGTGACACAGGGATTTTCTTCCATCCAATGCTCTATGTGATGAGCAAAGTGCCTGAATTCTCATTTGTCACACTGCCTTCGAGTAGAGAAATTATGATAATGCACAAATTAAAAATGATGATTCACTGTAAGAGCAAACAACATAGCAGAGATTTTGTCTGGAAAGCTTTTCAGAATCTTTATTTTAACCACTAGCCAGGGAAACTGAGAGAAACATAAAAATACAAACTCATGATAAAGAGACTTGTGTTTAAGCACGAGACATTTTCAATTTTCCCGAGTGAGGAAATGCAATCTGAAAGTCTTCTAAACAGTGCAGGCACGAATTCATCACCTGCTGGCTGCCTTATTGTGTCACAGCATTTTCTGATTTCTTTCTCTGCGTCAGCTCGAATAAACAGCTATTATCGTAAGCAAAGTCATGCTTGTAAAGCTTTAGCATTGCAGATAATCAGTGTTTAAGACAAAAGAGGTCTTTCTGTGAGAGGAGCAGCACTGTTCGGTGAACCGCACAGTGGGCTGAGAAGATAGCTTGTTACAGCCCCACAAAGTTCTAAAGAGTTCGTGTTACACCCAGTGAAATGTTTGAGCAAATCAACCTCTCTGCTGGCAAACATTTGTTATGACGCTGCTGCCCTGATAAGAATCACAATTTTCACAGCAATTTCTATTCTCTTTTCTGTAGCCTTTTTCCTGTCCCTCGCTGGAGTCCCTCGGCAGCTCCCTGCAGTACATCAACGCCCTGACATTTTGTGCCTGAGACAGACAAGCATAACTCACCAGTGGGACGGAACAGCCAGCTAGAAGTGAACCCAGGCAAGAGACAAAGAGTGTTCCTGAGATCTCTCCTTCCTATCTCGTCCACATTGACCTGTCAGCCTTGCACTGCTTTTGGAAGAGAGCTTTGAAAATACTGGGCAAAGAGAAAAAGCAGCAGGCTGTCTTGAGACACAGCCTGTAATTACACTGAATGCCCACTTTAAGAGCATGTAGCAGCAATAATCTCTGGGACCACATAAAATTGGAAACTCTATGCAAAGTTTAACTTTGCATAAACAGTTCTAGTGCTTGAAGAAAGGTTTAGGGTGCTGCCACATCTCTGAGGAGATGTAAAAATGTATCTGCAAGAAAGCTGCTTCTTCCCCCTTACTGCCTATTACCCACCTCTCTAACCCCACTGACTGAATCAGGTTGTCAATTTATAAATGCCCTTTCACCTTTACAATTAATAAAGTTGATAAGTCTACTTAAATGCTCCATAAGTCCTTGTAAATGTCTCCTCTTGGTGCCTATTCATCCTTAAAAACTGCCTGATAGAGCCAAACTGGAAAGCCTTGTGTTTCTTTTACTTCACATGCTTCGAAGAACAGTGGAGCTGTTTATAGGCGTTGAGACTGAACATCAATAAGTAATCAGCAAACACCTTAGGAACTGCAGCTGCTTCACGGTTAAGCGTTCTTTACCTGAAATTAATGATGGTCCCTTCAGGCACATTTTAGGTGAGATCTTGCTAATACAACTTCTGCATGAGTTGCCCACAGGAGCCTCTCCAGCTCGAGGTGCAGCTGTAGCCTCTCCTGCCCCAGGCTGCCATCTCATAAACATATTCTGGCAAACATCTGGAGAGATGCACTGTGATACGGAACTTCTGCTTAACTACAAGTATTAATTTCAAGTAGGTCAAGTCCAAATGAGCTGAGCTGCTGCCGCCAATGTGAGCGCAGCATTTTTAAGGATGAGATGTAGACT